TGGCTGGGCCTCGTACCGCGGACGTTCGCCTGCTACCGCGAGATGGCGCGGCCTATCGGGCAGGCAGCGCCCCACTCCCTCGTTCGCGTGGACTGTTTCTTACATCGCACCCCCCAGCGCGTTCTTCACATCTTTTTTTTTTTCCCCCCTCAAGACTGACACAGAGTGGAAAAAAAAATTAAAAACAGGCACTGAAAAAATAAGTGATAACAGTAAAACACATTTAGAGAAAGATAAGGGTGTCAGAAGAGATGTAACAGAAAAGATTCCTTCTTCTGGAATAGGACAGTGTTAATATTGTTATATATTAATCTCCAACATCATGGATGGTGAAGACACAGCAAGCGTAGGCAGTCCCTTGGGAAGAGGGGTACCCTGCAACAAGAAGCCCTAGGGAGGCTGTGGCATGAGTTGCTGTACCTGCCTGCCTCATTGGTCTGGGAGAAGCGAGAGCCCGGGGGGCACATAGAGAGGAAAATCTCAGCAAGCCAGGGCACTCTGCAACAGTAAATCAGCAAAGGAAAAGAGAGTCAAAAGGCCCAGACGTGAAGTTTAGGGCTTGAGGTTTGCCATAATAGGCAGGGTTGGAGGGAGCAAAGGCCTTGGAGGAGATGTTTCAAGGGAAAACTGAAAAGGGCAAATCATGGGATTTTACAAGGAATTTAGTCATGAAAACTGCAATATCTTGGACAGTCAGTCCCTGTCATCCTCCAACAGATGACTGAGATTTATCAGACATTATACGGTCAGAGTAGACTTTACTTTTCAAAGCTCTGACAAGGCACAAACTTGTAAGTATTCTGGAATGCAGCTGGCAAGGTGAGGTGGAAGTACCAAGGAGCCAGAAAGCAGGAAAGAAACGTGAATTAAATTTAAATATTGTCTAAACCCGAGGGAAAAAAAGTCTACATTAATCATTTTGAAGGAAGCTGCTTAAGGAGTACATGGGGCAAACTGTTCTCCAGATGAGGAAGTTCTATTTCCCAAGTGAACTGAAGGGTGCTGACATCTGACTCAAGAAAGAATAGTAGTTTTGAGTGGATTGGTTTCGTCTGGTGTGGCCTGATGCAGTTTTTGCCCAAACTGATAAACAGTGAGTTCAGCTTTGAAATTAAACTCTATGAAAGGTGACGGTGGCTGAAGGAAGGCAAAACCCAGCAGCAAATGCGTTCTGGGAAGTGCCTCCACAAAGTTCACTCTGGTCTTGGCACATGCTGAGAAGAGCTATTCATAGCATAAGTTGAGAAACTCCAGCTCGTTATTACGTGACAGTGTTTGTACCTGCACATGTCCAAGTCTCACTTGACCTTAGCGTCACCCACACAGCTCATTCAGTGTCTGCTGGTGTTTAGGTCTAAAGATCAGTATTTTTAGCATAGACCATCAGGTATGATTATGAGCCATCAGGCACCATAAACGGCAGCAACTCTTACCTTAATTTTTTTTTTTTTTTTTTTTTTTTAAGAAAACAGTGCTTGTATGCTTCTTCCTAGGTAAAAGGAGCAGGATTTTTGCCACAGTGGGCAATAGTAGTTCTTAAGCTATACTTCATGGGAAGATGTGTAAAGAAAACAGAATTGCATCTCAGATTGTTGTATGTAATCTTTTACAGTTCTCAACAAGGCTTATGAAAACATCTTGCTTATACATCATAAAGCATGCTTGGTTTTCTGTAAGATAGTAAATGCTTACTGCCATTGCAAACCTGGCAGAACTATATCTAATCCTGCATCTCCATCCTACACTTAGGAACCTGTCCCATACTTTCTTATTCTTCAAACGCGGAGCATGATCCAGGCTCATCTCCTCTAAAATAACAGACAGACCTGCCATGCCAGATGGTTGCACTGCTACTTTAAGTAGCTACGTTTTTGCAGCATTCTGCATTCCCTACCACTTTTGTTTCATTTACTGCCCAGTAAACAACAAAATCTAAGAAACAAATCTTTTTCAGACTGCTGTCAGGAGACCCTTGGAAACACTTGCATCTTTTGGAAAGAGAACATTGCCAGGAAACTTCCCAGTCTTCTGCCAGAAACAACTGCATGCATTAGTCGTCTTTTTCCACTGAACAGGTAGATTGCCAGCAGTGGTAAAGCAGCCTTTCCGTACCTCAGCTCTGATCTAAATGGAGAACTTTTGCAATCAGTTCAACTTTTGTGACCCAGCCAGTCAGTCCTTGGCATTTCTTTTACAGCAGCCAACAAGATCACTAGTTTTCTGTTGTGGCAGTTATATCTAGCGAGAACAAGACTCACATTCACTAGCCCATTTCCTGATATCTTTTAAGTGACAGAGTCAACCATAGCTTAACATCTTCTCCAGTCTGGGAAAGAAGAAACGTTCAACCCTTCTTGACCTTCTAGGTAAGTGCAAGCACAAGTGTGTACCCAACAAAAAGCCAGACCACTCCCAGAACACAGCTGTCAGCTTTCAGAGGAATCGCTAGGTTTTGCGAGACATGCAAAACTGCAAAATGGTATTTAGCAAGAATCTATACCTGCAAACAAAAAGATAAATGTTTGCTTTGCTGCTCATGAATTCATGGTAGGCATGACCCCACATGGAAGTTTAATTTGTGTGAAATACTGTTTAAAAATCAATCATAAGTGTTTTGGGTTACAAAGTGGCATAGAATTGTTGCTTTGTAAAACAGTGCAAGGCTTACACATTTTTGATCATTATCAAATTTTCCACGTCTCTCCACTGATCTCACATTGGTCACTGTTCTTTAAGTCAGGTGAAAGGGGAATCTCTAAGCATCACAACAGTAAAAATTTAGCAATTATATTGCACCTCTGAAGAGATGGAGAGAAGTTCAGAACACCACCTGAAATGAAGAGAGTAAAATTTCTCCTTGTCTCACATCTGCTTAGTCTTTACAGACTTAAGGAAGGGGCATATTTGCTCTGTATATCTTCCCAGATGAACTGCTGGAAGCTTTCTCTTTGCCACAACGTTAGCTAAAATGAGTGAGTAAAAGCTCCTGACGAATACGACAGGCTTCCGAGTCCATTGATTCCATTTGCTCATACTCTTCTTCCGGTTGTTCCATGTGTCCTGTGGCCGGGGAAGACCACACATCCAGCCCATGTTCTAAGGAGATGTTATGAAGTACACAGCAGGCCAGAACAATGTGGCTGGATTTCTCTGGAGAATACTGCAGGGTGCCTTTGGACCCATCCAGGCAGCGGAAACGCGACCGAATGGTTCTGAACGTCCGCTCAATGATATTGTGAGTGGCAGAATGTGCCATGTTGTAACGATATTCAGCAGGTGTCTCGGGGATATGCAGAGGGGTCATCAACCACGTTCGGAGAAAGAAGGAACTGTCACCTGTTAGCAGTGAAAAGGAGGAGGACACGTTAAATACCTACAGTTAACCACAGATTTCAGCTCTTGACCCTTGGTTTTCTGGTACTGCAGATATAGAATACATATTTCTCTGGCTAAAACAGAAGGCATGAGAAAGCATGAAAAAGCAACAATACCTCAGGTTTACAAACGTGACAAACAACAAAATAAAGGCATTCAGTTTTATAGAGGGAAATCCTGGAAGAACACGGAGGAGTTTTAAGAGCATTCATTTACTACATAATACAGTGAAAGACAGCTGGACTAGGACCCTACATAGAATTAAAAATTGCATAATTCAGCTTAGAAAGGTGTAGGATACTGAAAACAAGCTCTTCACAGAACAAGTGTGGACTAATACATACAATAATCAGACTGTATAAAACACAGATTGGAAGTTACTGTTCTAGACTTCTAAGAGAACGATCATCCAAACTGAATCTCAAATCTCAAGGGATTTGCAGGAAAGCAATCAAAAGTAAACACATCACTTCTGCCCAGAGGCTCTAGACTTAATAAGGAGCTGATATATAATAGAATTTCCACAGAAAACAACAATGAAAAATTGACTTACCAAGTAGCCAGCCATCTTTATGTAGCTCAGTTTCAAATTGGCTTGTAAGGGCTGCCTGCTGTAACACCGTGCAGTCGGGCAGGCTGCCTGGCCAGTGCGTTTCTGCACTCAGGAGGACTCCTCTGGCATCACACACCATCAGGCAGTTCAGAGAATGGAGACCCTTTCGGTTCACATAGGACAGGTCCTCAGCGTTTGGTGCTTTGATTGCCACGTGGGTGCAGTCAACCACCCCCAGCACTCCCGGCATGCCTGCCAGCCCATAAAAGTCATCCTTCAGGCTCTGCATGGTTGCTTCATCCTCAGGAAAGTGAATAAACTGTGAGGCTCTTTCCACCAATGCCTCGGTTACATTGGCAACGCAGCGGCTCATGGAGGCTTGACTAATGCCGATAGCATCCCCCATGCGAGTCTGGAAGGATCCGGAGGTATAGAAACCCAATGCAGCAAGTATCTGCGTCTCTGGACTGATGGCCCTGGACCGCTGTGTAGGGCGAGAGAGACTGGCTCCCAGGAGATCCACCAGGTAGTAAATGAACTGTCGGGGAAAGCCGTATGTGGATACTAGATACTCATCCGTGACATCCTCCAGCTTGAAACGATCCAAAGTCCTGTGTCCACGGCCGTAGAGCAGGAGGTCACAGTCAAGAACTGCAATAGGTACGGCCATGGCTGACGGCCAGGGAGGTCCCCTGGGGCTCCTCCTCTGTTGCAGAGCTGTCCCAGAGCCTTCACCTACTTAAAGCAAAGGGAAGGGAGACTCAGAACGGTTTTTACTGGTCAGCCTTTCAGACTCTGTTACCATTTTCCTTTTACTCGTGTCATCCAGCCAATCTTTTTACTTCTTTGTATCTGCTTTTAAGAAGACGGGGGGCAAAGGAGGAGGGCTGACTGTGGAGCAGAGCTGACAACTCTCCAGCCC